GCTGGGGGGGCTCCGGGCGGGCGTGGGTACCCGCAACCACAGGCTGCGGGGAGGTGGAACCGGACCCTCGGGGACTCTGGGTGCTTGCGGGGTGTTCAGGGGGCTGTGCGGGGATAACTCTGCCCGGCGGAGAGCTCGGAGTCTGGTCCCCGAGTCGCCTTTCCAGCCACCAGGATGGGCAGGGATTGTCTCTCTTCAGTGAGTCCAGCGAAGGGCAACAAAGATGATTCAAGGATTGGAGCATCTCCCTGATGAGGAAAGGCTGAGAGAGCTGGGACTCTTTAGTCTGGAGAAGAGAAGGCTGAGGGGAGACCTTATTAATGCCGACAAGTATCTCAAGGGTGGGTTGAAGGAGGAGGGAGCCAGACTCTTTTCAGTAGTTCCCAGTGAGAGGACGAGGGGCAACGGGCACAAGTTGGAACATAAGAGGTTCCACTCAAATATGAGGAAAAACTTCTTCCCAGTGAGGGTGACAGAGCCCTGGAACAGGCTGCCCAGGGAGGTCGTTGGAGCCCCTTCTTTGGAGATTTTCAAGACCCCCCTGGATGCAGTCCTGAGTAACATGCTCTAGCTCTAGGCAATCCTGCTTTAGCAGGGGAGTTGGACTAGATGATCTCTATGGTCCCTTCCAACTAATAATTCAGTGAAATTTCCCCTTCCACTCTTACCACTCATTCATAGACTCTTGACGAAGTGTTTTTTTCCCTCATCTTTAAGCTGAGCAGGCTCACAAGGTGGTTGCAAGTTACAAACCTTCCAAGTTTGACAAAAAAATCCTCCTCTGGACTGGACGTTTCAAGACCGAAGAAGAGATTCCTCTGAGGATCCCGTAAGTGCACGGCTCTTTTCTGAGGGGGACGTGGAGCTGAAGGGAAAGTGGTGGCGTGATCCTGAACTAAAGCTTTTCCGCAGAGTTTGAACCAGTCAGTTTTTGAACACTGAAATCTTGGAAACAAATTAGAGGGCGAGAGAATTTCCTGTCCTGGTTAGAGGTTAAGAAGAAAAAATGTTCCATACTGGAGTCCCCAGAGCCTGGGATTAAGAACTGGATCCATCAGTAGATAGCTTCAGTTACATTTATGTACTGGGTTGTTTATTTTGTTTATTCCTAATGTGCAATCAAAGAAGGATGTTATTGGTAAACACTATTTTCTGTTTCTATCTCCCAAAAACACTTCTAAGGGAGTTGTCACTGATGATTACATCCCAAAAATTATGATTTATTACAGAATTTGAGGAAAAATAGAGAAAGAGGTTATGAGAGAAAACATCCCCCACCAAGAAAAAAAGAGTATTTGACGTAGCCTTAGCTTAGCCTGCCGTTCTTGTTGACCTACTTTGAAGGTCCCTTCGCACCCAAACCCATGCTGATTCTGTGGTTCTCTGACTTCCTGAACGTTAGCATCCCCCCCGGGACTCCGTCACTGATCACATCAAACCCTCCTAATGCCAATTGCTGCCTTTTTCTGAGGAAGTTCAATAGCATGTTAGATGTCTCTCTGCAGGACACTACTTTTTATCCTCACAGTGTGCCCTGTCTGGGGTGGCACGTTGGGCGTAAGCAGCGTGCAGAGCTGTGCCATGCAACGGGCACATCCTCTGCCTGCTCCTGTTGGCTCCTGACAGTGTCACTGGCATTTGCTGACCTGGGACCCTTTAGAAAGCTGCTGCCCGTCTCTCTTCACTGTGCTAGTCCCACCATCTTCCCCTAGAGAAAGGTTCAGACAGGTCTCAGAAGCTCTCAAGTTTAGGTCATGGGGAGGTGTTTGTAAAGACACAGACGTTTGCCGCTCCATCCACGCACACGCATCCCTCGTTGCTGTGCAGGAGTTGGCCTGCCAGGTGCGTGTCACCACTTTGGGCTTTCTGGGTGGGCAAAGTCTTTTTAGAACCGTAAGATTGTAAATGGTAATATGCTGGAGGAAATGAATAGGGAGGCATCGAGGCTGAACTGTGTCACTGCTTTAACTTAAAAAAGAAAAAAAAAGAGATTTGCAAGACACTGTTACCTGTGAAGGTAATCTGGCTGCTGAGGATAGTTTGTACTAAGGGTGAAATCTGCAGTCCTTAGTCAAGGTTGTTGGGTTGTTGTGGTTTTGGTGGTTTTTTTTTGTTTGTTTGTTTGTGTGTGTGTGTGTTTGTTTGGTTTTTTTTGTTGGGTTTTTTTTTTTTAAACAGCTGTTACTGATTTCAGCAGAGGTTTACCCAGAGCCTTGACAAATGACTGAGTAGCGAAGGCCCTAATGTGCAATTAGGGAAGAACATAATCAGGTCTGTTCTCCTTAAAGCAGAGGCAGAAAGCAGGAAGAAAGTGAAAATCTGCTTCAGAAGAGTTTCAATTAGCGCACTGTGGAATATGATTAGGCTAATCAGCCAGGCTAATAACATTTAGGGTTTGGCTTTTATTGCTGCAAATGGATTAGGGGATTGATGGTTTTATGTGCTAGTCTGACGTGCGGTTTGGTTTAAAGATGATGTTTACCATCACACAGAACAAAAGCAGCCACCTAGAACTGCAGGCAGTGTCAGTCATTGGCAAGAACCATGGCGGGTACAACACGTGTGTGTGTTGGGAGGAGGGGGTAGTACAGCCACGGCTGCTCCTCAGGCCTCCCCTCTTCTGTTGCACCAAGCCCTGGGGAGCAGCACTGCAGCCCTCAGCCTTGGGACACGCTCCCAGGGGCACAATTCCACTCAGAAAACTCCAGCTCTGCCCCATCCCACCACTCGTCCTCCTTAAAGTCAGGCTAAAGGTGTTAGGGGGGAAGAGATCATTAGAAGATCTTTATTTACGATATAAAATCAATTCTTTATGCAACTATCCTTTTTATATATATACAAAAACATAACTGTATGTTATGTGTACTTATATTCTGTACCTTATGAATATGTGTTTATACATATAAAGCATTCCCTCGTGATTTATGAAAGGAAAATAAGTGTACCGCCAGCATGAGAATGAAGACCTTAAAAATAGTATTCCCGAGTGTAACGTCTGACTCAGAAAACAGCTGAGGTGAAGGTTTTGAGACAATTTCAGTGATGGGGAGACTCCCTGTGCCAGTTCTCATGGGCAGGCAGCCTGTTGCTGCTTCTGGGGGTGGTGGAGGGTGGGCACGGGAGCAGAACCAGTGGGGCTTGCTGGGCCCCCCAGTGCCCCTCCGGCAGCCAGGCAGGGCAGGAGTTTCAGTGCTTTTGCCTTCAATTACCAGCTAAAATAATCATGTAGATTGTTCTTATTTAGGCATGTGTTCCTGCAGCAGTGAGAAAAGGCTGACATCAGCTGCCCACTTTAAATACAGCGCCTGCTTTTCTAGAAAAACTAAAGCCTTGTAGCTGTACAAACTGTTTCAGTCACCTATCCGAGTGTGTAGAGTTCTCAGCCTGTATGCAGGGTGCCATCTAAACAGCAATACGACAGCAATTGATTTGTAAAGTTAATTTTGAGTAAGAGGAACTCTCCTTCACCACAGCTGCTTGACACTGCATATACTTCCCCATCTGTTTAAAATAGATAAAACCCCTTCAATTTCACTGTTTAAATAGAGCTTAAGGTATGATTTCTGGTGCATTTACCCCAAGTATTTAATTGCGAATATTTAGTGCATGAGTAATTTTTTTTTTTAGCTTAAAAAAAATTAGCTTAAATACATGAAACGTGGCTTTTCTACTGGAAACAGATTAGGGTCAGAAAATGCAAAGTTTTTGGGTGGTACAAAATCAGTCACGGCAATCTGAGGCCGCTTCTTTAGGAATCGATTCCTGTTTTATTATGTTTTGTTACGTCTGCCAGGCTCTGAAGACAAGAGCAGAGTTTTGTAACAATTCACTAACTTTAATTGCAGGCCAGAGATGCTGGACAGGGCGAGGAACAAGGCTCGAGTTAAAGCCTGTTACATCATGATCGGCCTCTCTGTTGTTGCCTGTTTCGCAGTGATCGCCTCGGCTAAGAAGGTGAGCACAACCGCTGGCGAGCCAGCACGGAGCAGCCCTAAAAAACATGGAATTCTGTTAAAAGCAGACATGCTTGAACAAGCCCTAGAGTTTTAGCTAACCCCCGTGTTCCTGTCACCCCCGAGACTGGCTGTTCTGGGCACCGGGGGGTTGTTGGGGGGGTTTCTTGAGGTCACTCCCCCTGCCTTGTTCTTAACCAGAGGTTTTGTGCCCGCAGGCGGCCGCACGTCACGAGTCCCTGACGAGCTGGAACCTGGCAAAGAAGGCCAGGTGGCGCAGAGAGGCCGCGCTGGCGGCTGAGACCAAGACAAAGTAACCCCACAGGCAAGGCCGGATGGTCCTGGCAGCAGCAAGATTAACTGACGCCAAGAGCAACTACTGAATTTCACCACTAAATGGGTAACTGTAGCATTGCAGAGAGGGGAACCTGACAGGAGTAGTTACACGACCACAAAAAGAAAGGGAGGGTCTCTTCTAGCAGAGAGATACTCAATGTACTGGTTGCATATAATTAAAATTAGGTAGAATGTTTTTGCACGTGACTAAAAGCAGTAATGAATTTCCAAGGAGGTAAGGTGGTTTCCTAGGAATGTCAGGTATGGGGGGAACCAACCTTCTGCTATCTTAAAACCTTTCTTTCAGGCTTGACCTTGCGCTGTTGTACAGCTACAAGTTCCTTACAGAAAAAACAGTTGACTTTTTCAATGAAAGGTTAAATACAGCACAGACCAGGCACTAGTGAAGTCCAAGTATGGAAACTACAAAAATAAGACTTAGGCAATTCACTTTGCAATTCTATGCGAAGAACAAGCTGTACTCAGCTCAAATATTACAGATCTTAAACAATGAGAAGGTTTGGAGAAGTGAGCTGAAGGAAATTGGTCTGATAACCCCACAAATTCTCAATGCCGTATAGACTTAATGGGAATTCCCAAACAACTGGTCAGTTCTGGAGGCAGTCAGGGCTGTGACAATGATCCTACAAGTATATGTTTGGTTAGATATTTGCAAAACATACTTAAAACCTGTAATTGTTCTGTCTGGTGACAGTGCATAGTTTTAGAGTGCACAAATCAGCCAGTTTGAATTCATTTGCCTCAACGCTGTATTCAAACTGGTATTTGTGTTCTCTAGTTAGAGCAACCACACTTACTGAACCACTAAATAAATACAATAAACATCTGTAAAATAGGTTTTATTGGTTTCTGTATGGTATTTGGAGATTTAACATTCCATAATATTGCATACTACTCATATGTGTTCTGTTACAGTAACGGGCCTTTGGCCTGGATGTAAAGATGCACTATTGCTCCCTGAAGTTAGTACAGGCATTTGAGTTTCCATACGTTATATGAAGATATATATTGTGCCATAGGGAACTGAAATTTCTCGTTCCAGATTTCAGTGAACTCTTGAGGTCACAGTTAAACTGTACATATCAATTGGCAGACCTATTACAAAAATCCTGTTGTACAATGTAATAAATTTTAACCAACTGGGAACTAACTGTGGAGGAAAGACAATAGTGCATCTTTTTTATTTTTAAAGACAGACCTGACAATAAATATTTTCCAGTTGCAAACTTGTTCTACAGCTAGCTTACTTCTGTGCCAACATTATTACTATTTTCCGATTGCTGCTAGCAACGGTGTTTAAAGCAAATACTAGAAAATTAAAAAGCTGTATGAACCAGTCCTCAGACAAAAGTGCAACAATGAAAAAATTAGATATGATTCAGTGTATCAAGAGTAGGGAACTGAAAAAAATCTTATGCTTTGCATAGTTGCATAGATTAGCTAGTTAGTATTCACATTTAAGCAGAACAAATGGTACCCGTTTAATTAAAACCAAAAGGACAAACCCCAAAAGCCCGTATTTTAAACGGATTTTGTAATTGATGGGGCACTTTAAATTCCATTAAAATAACAAACTTAAAGAGATTTTCTTCTAGCAGTTACTATTTTTTTTTTTTTTTTTTTTTTTTTTTTTTGTGTGTGCCTCCACACTGGCAACATCATCATATTCATGCCCCTACCTGCAAATGACTACACCAGAGCTGACCTTAAGTCATCATCTCTGGGTTTGTATTGTTTATTTACATGCTTTTAATAAAGTGTGATGTAAACCCAGTGATAAAACAGGAGAAGCGATCTTGTATATTTATCCTTTAAAGAAGAATTTTCATTATTACTTTTGAACATTTTTAGGGTAAACCAAATGTTGAGTTTAAATATGACTTTCATTAGCTAAAGTCCATCAATTTTAGTTCCCTTTTAAACTGTTACATTTAAATGTATCAGAGGCATGATATATAGGTATCTAAATGCATAAAGTGCAGTCACTAACCGTTCATACATATAGAATAATATATTCACAAAACTGAAGACATTCTTTCAAAACAAATATAATACTTTAAATGTCCCCTCTTTTCTTCATTTTCAAGTCTTTTAATCAAGATTTTTTAAGAGTTCAGATTTGGTTTAAATTAGAGAGGCTTATAAATGCAGTTTTTACAGGGTTCTCCAAATAAAAAGCAGGCACAGCTGGTTGTGTTATCAAAACAAGGTTGTTAGAAACAATGGAATACCCTGTTACCTGAATAATTTTCTTACACTAGAACAACACTGAAATTCAGCATTTATAGTAATCCTGGTAGATTTCCATGATTGTTACCCTGTACATTGAACAGATGGGGTGGGTGGAGAAAGAAGGAAGGTCCGTGTATGAAAACCTAAAACTATGACAGTAAAAAGGGCACAAATACAATCATCTAACATTATATGAAAATTTGGCAGCTGTACTCAATATTTATCACACTATTCAAAACTGTTGTGTACTGTACAAATCTAGGTTTAAAGTGTCATTTGCTAAAATATCTTCATTACTCAGAATTCATAAAGTAACAGCACTTCTATATACACTTCTTACACTTCTATCTTCCACTAAAAAGACTTCAAAAAGAGGTTTCTTCCCTCCCAGTTACATCTTAGTCAAAACTAAGACCGTTAATCTTAGAAAATCCACTTCAAGTCCCACATTCAATTACAATATAGTATATATTGCTGTAACATCAAAGTGAAACATCTAAGAATTTTAACTTGCATGTAAAAAAAATTCTAAATACAAAATGGTACTGTAAATGATACCACCTTTAACCTGTATTTTTCAGTGCATTAAAATATTGTTTAGTGACAAGCACAGTGCCATGGGATAAGTAATTTGTAGTTTAAATTGCAGCTTTTTATGAAGCATGAAATGCTCTCCTATGTCAATGATTTCACTTAACCCAAGAGTTTGATGTTAATACGTTAGTTACAGGTAATAAAAAATAATCATACTTCAGAGTACTTCTCCAAATGAAATATCCTACTAACAAACCAGAAACACTACTTATATGCAATTCAAAGCAGAACAGACATTTTTCTGTATTCAAAATTGTTAATGTAAATATCAGTATTCTATTTCTTTTCGTGTTTAACAGCAAACACTGTATATCGCAGAGCCTAAATATTTAGATGACGATAACTTCTAGTTAGTTTTGGTGTCCACATACTTAATGCTATTTACAGTACAACAAACTTCTCCTTCAGCTGGAAAGGAGCGATTCACCATTCATTCTCCACTGCAGTATTTCTATTGTCTTACCAAAAGAAAACTGAATTAGTGAACTTAAAGAACAATTCAAGTGGCGGTAGCATATTTGGTCAAAAAAAATAACACCTACTGTCTAAACTTTTAAGAAGCTACTGTACTAGAAAGGCAAACATTGCGATGTTTCTCAAACTTAAGTGGTGTTACCACAATCTGACAGGAGACAGCTGTAAACCATCTGCTTGGTGATTTGTGCAAATCCCCATCCCTGTCATCCATCATCGCAGCGTTCTTGTGGTAACTACAGCAACTGCCTCTGCTGCAAAGTACTCTCTTTGTGGCTGACTTTTAATGCCATTTAGCAGCTTTCATTTCAGAGCCAAGTGACCAGCAAGCTCTCTGCTGATTCCAATTTGAAAACCTCTGAAATAGTCCTCTTCCCACATAATTCAAAGAAAGCTTTTTCATATATTCAATATTATATTAGGTAATTAGCATTATATATGTATATCTATTATGACTTTAAATACATTTTATAAATAAATTCCAACGGTGTGTTGTAAAGTAATGCATAAAAGTTTCACAATTTAAATAAATATTTTTCACATTCCAATTCAGCTTCTTACAAGCTCATCTTTATTTCATGCCTTAGTTCTGAAGCAATGTTTTTGCTTCAATACAAGAGGTAGATTTGATAGAGACTGGGCAAGTCAAGCCTACTGCCAAAAATGCAACTGTCTGTAACTGTATTGCTGATATGCAGTTTGAGACTACACGAGGAACTCAGAACCACTACCTAAAACCCTACCAAGTCTTAGTTTAACAGTTCTTATTAAATCACATTTAATGCTTTACTTTAGACATGATTACTCACAGTTGTTTTCTGTACATAAAAGATATCGAAAAACACAAATACAAAACAAAGAACAGTTGTATCTAACACAATATATAAAAGTGCATGAGCTGCTGCTTCATCTATTTCTGCAAAACATATTCAACAGTTTCCTCTAACTTTGGCCATAAAGAAAAGACCTCTGGGGAAAAAAAAAAACAACAAAAACCAACCAACCAAACCAAAACCCTACAAGTGTTTACATTTTATGCTTGTCTTCACTTCAATAGCTTACAGCTGAAACCCCTCCATTGGAGCCTCCTGCTGTTGAAACACAAACTGCTGCTGACTTTCATCCACCTGAGGAGCAATACTGGAGTCCTCTTCTTCGACACCAAAGTAATGTTCTATGAGTTCAAAAGCCTTTTGGTAGATCTCTTGGTTTTCATGCCTCTGAAGAAATTCAATTTTATCAAGTCCTAAATCCAAAACAAAACATTTTCAAAATCTAGTTGCTTAAATGAATGATGAATTCAAAGCAAAACAGCTTGTAGTACAGCAGTACTTCTTAGATAAAACAAATGCAAACCCATATCATCTAATATTGTGGATTCCTTTTTCCTAACCCATGTATCGCTAATCTTCATTTTCTGCTGTCCAAACTAATTTTAAAACTCTGCTAAAAGAGTACCAATTAAACAAAGGAGGAGGAGGCTGTAGTATCTACGAAGAAATACGCCATGCCTACAAAAACTGAATCTGTATAGAATTCGGATAGCATAGAACTGGTGGTTGTAGCAATTTCCAATATCCCCAATTCTTTTAGTTTTACTCTTTCAGTCTTCCCCCACTCTAAATTCTATCCTCTGTTACAGAGTATTCACTGGACACAGTCTGTTATCATTTTTCAAATTTACTTTTAAGATTTGAAGATAACATTTTTCCAAAGTCTTGCTCATTTGCAAGTGAGAGGACATAACCTCTGCTCTGCTGGCAGAATTACATGCTTGGCAGTCAGTTGATGCATAACTCTTTCTTAGCTATTTAAGCTAACTCAGTTTTCACTTAAGTTGGATTAGGAAGAGCTGACAAATCCTTCTGTGACCAAACCAATGAGGATGATATAATTAGCTGTTTCCCCTACTTACACTCTACAGCTTCAGCAGCCTACACTTTTGTTAAAAGAAAAAAAGAACCAAGACATTCAACAGCTGAAATTATGAAAGGACTCAAAATCTGGAACAGAATAAATTCCATTGAAGTATTCAGTACTTATTCCTCTTACACATTAGATTGCAAAGTAAATTCTCCAAGTATGTACTTGATTTTAGAAATGAACGGAACTCAGATTTAAAGGCTGCCTTACAGAAAAGTCAGTACCGTCTATTCAGACACAATGTTGTCAACTAGGATTGTTATTAGCAGTTTCTGAAACACAAACGTCTGTCAATTTCGTCAGAGCTACAAAAAGATAACACCATATTCATTATATGCCAGCTTTAACATTAACTTTGTTAAATCAAAAGCATCTAGTCTGGAAATTCCACAAAGTCTTTCTTTTTGATGCTGGGCCTTGAAAATGTGGTTTAATTCAACAACCCTTAGAAGAAAAACCAGAACACAACACTTTCACAAACTTAAGTTCAAACTGATTTAATTTTATGATCTGAAGTTGATTTTGCTATTGCGGCTATTTACTATGCTAAAAAGTGATCTGACTTTGGGAGTAAGTAAAACAAACTGTGATCTTGCATCCCTATTGGTAATGAAA